CACTGCTTCAGAGCAGCAGGACCAGTGAAAGATGGCATTCTTCAGCAAGAAACACAAGCCCTCAGAGGAAATGGGGCACAAGGAGAACAACTTGTACAGCTCATTGAAGAATTTTATTTGCCAGCTCAGATGGTTGCTAATAAAACAAAGAAATATTTGTCTATCAAGGTAACCAAAGTGTCTCCTACCTCTGAAAGAAACAGATTTCGAGTGAAGAAACAAACGTGTGTAGACTCTGGAGATGATTTTTAAAACAAACAAGCAAACAAAATCTCTTTCCATCAAGAAAGCAAGCTTTCATAAAACCCAAAACTCTAATTATGACCACTAGTAATTGATAGTCACACTAAGTAAGTGACAGTAATGGCTTTGAGATCAATCTGATACAATCTTGGGATAAACAGATCAGGTCCATTAATTTACTCCCTCCTCATTTATTCAGAATTCATAAAACATTTGCTGATGCTTAGCCTACAAATAGAACAGCTTATTCATAACTTCCAGAATATTTTGGCCTGGGGATCACGTTAGGAGTGAAGAAGCAGCATTCCTTACTCAGTGGCATGCTGGATCCCTTACCCAGGCTTCTGGGCAGCCTTTACCAGCTGGTAAATAGTTTCTGGGGCTACAGCAGGGAAGGGAGTGCAAGAGAAGGCTGCACTTCAAACCACACAGGTCAGAGGAACCACTGGAGGCCAAGGGGAGCAGAAATCTTTCCATTACTACTGGTGAGATTCAAGACAGCATATGACATCACACTGATGTACACGTTTATACTTTGGATCAGAGACTCTCACATTCACCTCTTCCATTTTTATTAAACTGACAAAGAGTGAGATTTTGCAGTTGGTTCACAGATGTACATTAAGTAACAGGAAATCACTTTACTTGCACATCAACACTTCCCACATTTAGTGAAGAAGCAAAATTTGAAAGCTGTTTCCCATCCCACCGCAGTCCATTAGTAATGAGAATATTCATTACAGCAGCTTAAACTGAGAGAAAGTATGTTCCTTAGCTTGGAGAAAAATATGTAGAATTACCAGTGTGATGCAACACTGGCTGAAATTTGATTTCAGAACAGTCATTGCACCAAAAGGTTTAAGAAAGTGGTCTTAAGAGACAAACTTGGAAAAAGTAACAGAAAAGAGAACTTGTGCCATGTAATAATCTATGGGCATCTCATGGCTATAAAATTGATAAGGTAAAATACTCTGGTTTAGTGTGTCTACGAAGCCAGTAAACAGAATGTATGCCACAGCTGATAACAAACATTCCTAATGATTCCTAGCATTCATTGTTATGATCATTCTGTTTATTACAACAATACCAAGCTCCAAGCTCTTTTGTAACATGTCAGAAGCTACTTCAAAATCAACCATTTTTCAGATAACAGAATTACTCCATTGACAAGAACAAAATGTTGGAGTCTGGCTGAAAACTGAGGACTCTTACATGCAATTTTACTTTAAAATTATCACATTCATACTTGACTGCACAATTCTTTGAAATTCTGTCCAAAAAAAGTCTCAAAAGTTTATTCTGGGCATCAAAATTCTGTTCTTGTGAAAACAACTGCCTTTCTTTAAGCCGTCTCAGGATCTCTGAAAAAAGGTGAATTAAACTTGACCTCATGTCTGTAACAACAACCAGCATAACATTTACAGGGTTACTTGCAAACCTTTATTTATGAATCTGAACTTGGTAACTTGGCCTCAAGCAGCAGCTCAGGCTGGAAGCTCTGCTGTGCTTGGAAATAAGCTCTGCAGTACTCTGGAGGTACACAGACATCACAGAAAATGTAGCACTTCAGTAACTTGGCATCCCATTTCCTTGTCTGGACAGAACACTGTGACAAATTCAATCTGACTCCTAGAATGACTCCACTACAAGATCAAGAAGCTGAATGTAAAAAGCCATTGAACAGGCTCCATCTCCACTTTGCTTGGCAGAGCCCCTGTAGCTCAAGCTGGGCAAGAAAGACCAGACTATATTTGCACACTGTACTCCCTAATATTTTCCAAAACAATTAAAATTTGGCAGCTATGTTCTTCCAGACATCCAGGACCTGGCCCAGCCTAAGCAGCAGAATCAGAGTGGGACTTTTCCAGCAGTGACTGATTCTTTGCACATCCAGAACTGCTGCAGCTGCAAGGGCAACCAGGAGGGCAGGAGGATTTCTTTTCAGTGTTCTCACTATCACCACACCAAGACATGCAAGGTAGAAGGAAAGGGTTAAGAGTGCAGCTTTCATGGCAGCAAATGAGGTGAGAGATGAAGGTTGAAGAGATCCATGGATAAATGAGGTACAAGCAAAATGGGTACAACCGAATCAGAACAGCGGCAGTGAAGGAGGTGTATGTGTGTGAAATTAGATCAGAAGACACAGAATAAAAGGCAACTAAAACCAAATGTAAAATTGAGGAAACTTTAGATCCTTATCTTCAGCTGCTCTCAGAAAGAAGCTTGGACAAACCAAAAAAATTCTCCCAAACTTCTAAGATTAGCATACCTTAAGGAAAACTGCTAGCCTTGGCTAATTTTAGCTCCACCAGTTCAAGCTGTAAAGAGGCATGGCATCCTTTGATGGAGAAGTTTAGCCTGTAAGGAAATGTAGGTATATACAAGTACTGCATCCTTTTTTCCATTAAAAAGGACAAATTAAAAAAATCAGATGCAATCAGAACCCACATTAAGTGGTAAAATATATTATTCTAAACTAGGAAGAGCCCAAAGAAGTATGGCTTACATTCTCCTAATTCACCACCCCTATCCAAATGCATAATTGTAACTCATTTTTAAAAATAGATTGAAGTAAAATAGCACATACCTTTTTTTTCCCTTATAGGTGCCTCCACCTCTTTCTGCATACTGGATGAGCCTGTTCAGGAGAATCAACTGTCAGTGAAGCTTTTGTCCATAGAGCTTCTTTTGCAATTCACTAATAAACTTAGGAGCTCTGTAAATCCAGAAAGGGGGTTGGAGGACAACTGGAAAGGAACTTGATTCCCTTTAAAAGAAAACCTAATTAAAGAAGTTGAGGGATTGTCTGGACATGCAGATTTTATGCTCATTACTTGTATTTATCAAATATCACACTAATTCTGTGACTAGGTTAACTTCCCAGTTGCTAAGTCATGGCACGTCTCCCATTTTATAAAACAAGCAGCAAAACAACAGATGTTTTGTTCATTTAGCCTATTTTTCTGCATTAATGGCACAATTCCACTAAAGGAATTTAAACAGTAGTGATCCAAATCCTTCCATTCATTTAAACTCCTTGGTCTTTGCTGTCCAGAACTAGATGTCTGCAGCCACCACCTCAAAATAAAACTTTCCCATTAATGACTTCAGTTTATACTGGAAAAGAAAGATGTTAGTCTACAGGTGGACAGATTTAATATCTAGGTAGTTATTTATTTCCCCCAAATTTCCTCCTTTATCTTCCTGTGCTGAATAAAACTCAGTGTGGTTGCTAAACAACAAAAGCAAAATCCTTTACGAGCCACTGTAGGCTACCAGAAAATCCCATCAGTCTATGATCCAGAGATGGCCTCTTTAGGTAAGAGTTCCACAGATCCACAGCCTCAACAAGGATAAAAATGCTTCCTGATGACTCTGCATATGAAGAACTGCACTTAGATACTGCCACTTCAAACCTGTTTTCATACCAGATACTTGGGATAGCGAAAAAACCCAAACATGAACATCACAGTTTTATGTATGATTCTATTTCATCTAACAGTTCTCCTTCCCCTTTGTCTTCCTCAACAAGGGAAACACTGCATCTTCCTCAAAAATATTGATGCAAGTATTTCTGAGATTTTAAAGTGATAAGCTTCAAAAATACAAAAATGAGAACAATTTGAAGTTACTCTCTTCTATTTGAGAAAATTTTTACTATTTTACTTATTTCTAGGAATAACAAGTTTGCTGAAGCATATCTAGAAGTCAAGAGCCATCATCCATTCCTACCTGTTTCAGAGCTCTTTTTTGGCTCATCTCTCAAAACTCAGTGTTTTTTCAGCCCTCCTCCCTCTCTACTGGCACTTGCTTGGTTCTGTCTTGCAGAACTTCTGAGGCAATGAAGATGGCAGGCTATCTGTAATACAAACAATACTACTCAGTGACAAAGCACTAGAAACAGACTAGAATGCACCTTTTTCTCAGAGGAAACAGTTCAGCAATAAAGACTTCAAGAAGTTGCAGTTGTTTTTTACTTAAGTTTTAGGATACAATACACTTTTTTGAAAAAAGCCACTTTCCCCCTTTCCTAACAAATTAGTAACTTTATTAACAAAAGGGTCCCAAGTTGCTTTTGTGCCAACCCAAACCCCTAAAAAATTAGACCTGAAAGCTAGAGTGAAACTTTCATATATGCTGAACAGCTGAAGACTCTCAAATTTATGTAAAACAGCAGAGAAGTCAGGTAACACCACTGCTCTGAACTTTTTAAGATGGAAATTAATCACTGGAGTCAAGGACTCACAGAACAAGGTGTCTGATAGCCAGCTACTGCCTCCCATTATCTTACAAACATGGTATAATATGCTACCAAATACTACCAAAATCATTTATCCTTGGGGTTTAGGTGGTTGATAGCAAGATCTTTTTCTTTGTAGTACACACAAAAAAGGCAAAAAGCAAGTAAGAAAACAAAATGCTTTTCTTAGAAACTGCCTCACCTAAGGTGCTGGGGACTTAACTTTCCTAGCTCTTTAATGGAATTATAGCACAGCCTATAATTATCTAGCTTTTTAAAAATAATGTGATCAATATGCATAATTCTCACAACTGATTTTACAAATCCAATTTACAATAAAACCGGTAACTTCTGAAAACTTAACAAGCTATGTCCACCAGGATACTGCATGTGAAGCTGTAACACAAAGCAATTAACTATTATTTTTCCATTAAAATAAACTGATACTACTACAATCATCACCCAGATTACAGCTACATTATTGCATGACAAAGATACACACATTAACTACAGTTGGTACATTTTTCTTATTTATTCAAAAGCTAGTGGATGACAAAAAGGGTTAAAATGTTTTATACCACCTATTCATTACATGAACAAATACTTAATTCAAAGGGACTTATTTTACAAGCCCCTCTGTCCAAAAACCACACACAAATTAGTTTTTATACACAAATGTTTATTTCTCAAATAAACTTCCCCTTTAAACACAAGGAATGAAATCTAAATCTTCATAAAGATGGAACGAAAATCCCTCCAGTACATTGTAATCACTGTTTTGTTGGTCACTACTGGCTTTAACTGTTTAACATCAAAAAACAAGGACATATTTAAAAAATCATGCTACTGGATACCTAGCTCTGCCTCTGACCAGCTCTACACTGATCTCCAAAATTTTTAAATTTTACATCATGAAATCTGAAGCATTTAACTGAACAACAGCTGTGCATTAAACACGAACAACTGAACAAGATTATAAGATGTAATCAAGTTCGTAACGAATATAGGTGTTCTTCTCATCATTATAGATTCTTGGATAATGTGCTATCAGAGCATCCTGTGATCCGATGTAGATTGAATTATAGATCTTCCAATAAACATCTCTGACTTTTCTGGCAGGGTGAAACAAACCCTAGAAAACAGAACAGATCAAAATATAATAAAAGCTTGAAGTTCCAATGTATTTTGATTGAATTTAATGAAACAATGCAAAAGAAGCACTTAATAAATGGGCAGGATACACAAGCTGTAGCAAAAACCAGTTCTATATAATAACAATATACAAACAGCACTTGCAAGAATGTACACTGCAAGAGACTTTCACCTTCCTACTGATGTCAGTATCTTCACGTTGAGGTCCCCACACAGCAAAAGTGTGACATTTCCTATCTGCAAATTATTACTAGAACTCTATCACACCTTCTCTACGCTGACCTGCATTACTTTAATCCTTGCTCCCCACCCGTTAGGTGAGTTTTAATTCCACAGCCAACACAGTCACTGTCATGTGCAATCACACGGGAAAGGAGCCTTCAGATTTTACCACCCCATATTTACAGAAGCTGAACTGCCTAGTGTTGAGCTAGCAGAATCAAGTCTAATCAAAGCACTGTTTTACAGTGCTGCACTCTTCTAAACATCTGTTTTTCTTGGCTAATGACAAATCATGACTTAATCCTATCCTCTCATTTATTTATCTCACTGATTACTTGTCATAACCCCTCCCACAGCTAATTTATTCCCCAGCCACATCCCCATTAGTTCACATCCTCAAAATTTGTGACATGCTTCCAATTTAGAAATCAAAGTGCCAGGCTCATTTAGTCAACTGATACTCTAACTTACCTGCTCTTTCTACACAAGTTCTGTGATGTAATCAGCTATCTCCCTATACTAAACTCTCTGTTTACTGCTTATTTCCACTACTTAAGTCCTTGGCACAGAATACCCTGTTTAAATAACACAACACTGGAGACAAAATGCCAGGTTTTCCTTTGCTGGAAACCATCTTCAGTTGGCTTTTGTGTCTCCTGGAAAGAAGCCCTGCCTGACAACTGCTGCACACAAAAGGTCATACCTGTAAACAATACTGTAACATCCTGCAGGGCCCAATAGCAACTCTGAGGCCCTCCAGAGCCCCCATAACTGCCTGGATGACGTGAGGAGAGGTTTCAAACACATTGGGCCACACGTAATTTAACAAGTGATTAAGAGAATCTTCACAGCCGAACCCATAAACACCAAGGGACATGTGCTGCACCACAGCACTGGCTGTTTGTCTGTGTACAAGATCCCTGCAAAGAGAATAATGTGTATTAATAAGTGAAACTTAGAAGCAACATGAGTGGACAAGCATAGTGTTTCTTTTCAGTAACACTTTTCTTGAAAGCACTAATAACACTTTTAAGCCATGCAAGAGGCAGAGTATCAAGAATCAGTCAAGTGAAAAAATATGGGAGTTTTCTGAAAAATTACTGCACTCCAATTCCAAAGATGTACCAACAATAGAAATTATCAAAAGCAGTTTTAATGGAAGAAGTCTCAACTCACTGAAGATGCTTTTATAATTTGATTCTTCAGAATTATTAGTAAAACTGAAGCACATATAATCCAAATTGTCTGCAAATAATGGCTTCCAAATTATGCTGCTCACTTAAAGCCTTTAGCAAACAAGGACAATATGCTTATTTGCTATCATTAACCATCAGGTATATACTTAAAAATATGACCACAGGTAACTGTACCACAGAAGAAGTGCACTCACCTGTCCATTAACGCATCTTCAAGCAATGGTGTAACAGCATAAATGTAATCTTTTCCCATCTCTCCAATGTATTCAAACAGGAAAGAAAGAGATTTTAACACACCATTCTGCACATTTAGTTCTGGAACTCTGTATTCATTCATGAGTGCAGGCAGCACTGTGAAAGGTGAGCATGTTTCAGCCACAATAGCAATTGCTACTGTAGTACATACTCTGTTTTGTCTTTCCTGTACTTTCAAGTTGTTTAGCAGTGTGGCCAATACATCGTGAGGTCTGAAAGAGACAACATGGGCATCCATGTCAAGAGAGTCAGTGAGGATTTAGATAAAATTAGTTAAGCTTCAAACAAGTAGCAGAGAAACATGGTTTAGCCCTCATAAAAATTTTAGAGAACTGGGAAACAAACTGAACACTAAATATGAAACACTAAACTCCAGAACAGGTAAAGGATTTATTTCACAAGTGCAACATCCTATGTTAATGAAGAATATGTGATTGTATTCCTCAAAATGAGTAAAACTATGTCTGCACATATAAAATGTAGAGAAGTGTGAATATTTCGTATCAGAAAACTAGCAATCATCACTATGTTTGGTAACTGTGTGCAGAAGCAGATAAGCGTTATATCAACTTACCCAATAGCTTTTGCAATATAACCAAAAGTGTTTACTGTGGCTCTTCTGATAGCTTTCTTGTGGGCTTTTAATAATTCAAGCAGTTCAAAGCAGATCCTCATCCATTCTCTTGCAGAAACATACTCTGCACCTCTGAAAGAGAATCAAGTGAGTTACCTGTTCAGGGATATGATATTTTTTTTACATAAAGCCACAAACTGGAGCACCTATTCATTTGGTACCCACAGAGGTAACAGCTTAAGTATTTCCTTTATTAGGTAATTCAACAGTGTGTCTGCTAAATACCTCAAGTTTTATTCACAACTTCAGAAATATCAAGAGATATGACAATGAATACCCAAATGCCAAACTTGAGCTTTTGCTACAATTGCCCACAAAGAACGTTAGATATTTTATCATTACTCAGCTTACCTGTCTGCAATACGCCCAACAAGATCAATACAATTTTCCTGTACTTTCTCATGTCTGTTCTTCAAAATAGGTGTTAGCCGTGGCAGAAGGTCTTTGATTGGTGGCGTCATCTTATGCATACCTATTGAATTCAAAGAGGCACATTTAGTTTTATAGTTTGTTTTTTTTTTATTTTGCTCTAGAACAGCTAAGTAATCAATACAAAAACATACCTATAACATTCACAATTGCCTTAAGCGCTCCAAGTATGCTGCCCAGTACTTCAGGATATTCTTCACCCAGGTACTCATACAAAACAACACCCAAGTGTCCCATCAGTTTTTCCTACAACCAAGTAAAAGGAGTTAGAAGGCAATTTTCCCCTCCCCTCTCATTACTATGACCTACTAGAGCGAATCTGGAAAAGAAGTCCATACCTCTTGACAAGTCTTCATGACAACTGCAGTACGAGAGATCAGGTCAGCGGCCTGTTGCCTGACTTTGGCTGATTTGTTGTTCAAACGCCACAAAACTGTACCACAGATCTGTGGCAAGTAGGGTTTCACTCTTTTGCCTAGAGCATTAACCACTGTGCCAAAGCCATTCAACATCACAGAATCCTGAGGGTAGAAACAATAAAGGAAAATCAGACAAACAGCAACACTGCATTTTACCTAAACTTGTCATAATCTAAAATTGCTTTTAAAATGCTAACATTCCAGAGACTGCATCTGGATTTCATTGAATATGAATGATTTCATTCACTCATAAAGCACTGACATCAAAAAAGGGATTCTAAAAATCTAAGTTAGAAGAACACATTTCTGTATAACTAACAGCGAGACGGCTTACAATTCCAGTGAACCAAATACTCCAACACTTGGTCGTACCTCTGTTGTCTGTTCCTGAAAGGCGTACAAAATACCATCAATGAGCTGCTCTTCCAGTTTATGATCGATGTCTGCTGCCCCCAGATTTCCCATTATCTTCTCAATTGTTTCCATGACCATTTTTCTGTACTGCTCAGCCTCATCTTTCAGATCATCCACAATCCTAGAAATAATTTCTGCTGCTCCAACTTTATTTGCCAGCTCCACAGTTGTATCAACCAACTGAAATACAGAAATGTTAAATAAGCAAGTATTAAAAATTATGCTTAAAAGTAGTTAAAAGCTACCTTCTACATCTTGAAAATGATTTCCCTAGTCTGAATAAACATGTTAAGCTCACTATAAAAAACTAGTTTAACCTTTAGAAATCATCCAGTGTTTTTAAGAATATAAATGGGGTGAACCACCCCACCTTGCAACTGATAAAGACATTCACAGATGTAAAACATCATGATAACCTCCTAAGAACCCAAAAATCTTCTTAGCCACACAACTTCTAAATTGATAGTATGAACAAAAATCAAGTTTCAGGACACAGAGAAAAATAAGTACCTAGCCTAAATAACCACTTTAATTCTCTTCTGCTGTAAATAATTTCCCAGCTAAAAAAACCACAAAAAATACCTGTCTGTAATTTCTTCTGTCCAGTGCCATTCTGTGCTGCCAGAAATGTTTGAAGAAGGGTGGCAAGATTTCTGTTTTAATGTAATTTGCTTCAACACCGTCTGTACCACAACACTGCTTTACCACCTGACAGGAAAAAAAAATTCAACAACTTTAACTTGGTGAAGGGTGTGGGGTAGGCGATTTGGGGTGGGGTTTTTTTGCTTTTGTTTGGTTTGGATTATTTTTTTTTTTGCATACATATTCAATATCAATACTAAACTATCATTCTGATGTACCTTCAACACAATTTTTTTCATCTCTTCATCAGGAGACTGGAACTCTCTGATAAGAATCAGCATGACTTCTCTAGTGTAGTAGTTTGCATACTCGGCATCCATGAGTGGAATCAGGTAACCAATAGCCTTCAAAAATGCAGCCAAACCCTATTTAAATGCAAAATATGTCTCTAATAAGTTACAGCAGGTACACACCCATTTCAGCTCAAACTAAAGAAAGTATTTTAGATTTACCTTTCCTCTGTGCTGACGAATACCCTTCCACAAGGGCTTCAGGACAGAATCAAATGACTCAATACCATAGGGAGTGGCTGCCTCAGCCAAAGCAGCAATGGCCAAAGCACTGATGGTGCGAACTTTCTGCTGCTCATCCACCAGCCCTGAAAGAGAGCAAGGTTTAGTACCACTTCTTGCATTTGTGTCTTAAGTTCAAAACAGCAAAATAGCAACAATAGCAAAATAGCAAAAACAGAGGAGCAGTGTAAAAACTTATTTTCAGGAATACCAAACGACTATTAGCTCTTCTTCATCTTTCAGAGTCAGCTGAAATGTTTCTTGGTGTCATAGCAACAAGAAAACCAGGACCTTACTGTCACTGTGCCTTACTGAGGTATGAAAAATTTTCCAGATATAAAGTTGGCAAAAAAGTCTTTGTCTGGGAAAGCAGAACTTACCATGCTCAATAATTTCAACCAAGCTCCTGAGATGAGGCAGGATAGCACAACCCATAAGAATAGCAATCTGCTGTACAATCTTGATGCCAGTGTGTCTGGCCTGCCAGGATTTTTTACTTTTACAGACAGCTTTTAGGAAGGGCAACAGAGAAGGAATGCCCAGAGCAGACGCAACAACGGCAAAGGCTCGAGCTGTTGTATTTCTGACATACTCATCCATGTTATCAATATCAGGTCGCATTGTGGAGATCATTGTTGCCAAACCCGCAGCCTGCAGGACAAAACACAAAACATACCAATTGGATTTATGAAAAGCACAGTTAATTGTTCTGCCATGCCTCTAAACATGCAGGTATATGTAAGCTAACTCAGTGCCTTAATGAAGGATGGAGTTTTACCTTAGCCAAGTTGGAAATAATTTCTCTGCCTTCCACTCTAGCATAGTAGTCTTCATCAATCAGCAGTGGCTCAATGACGACAAGGATCTGAAAAAGATAAATTAATACTTCCTGTTACTGGTACTTTCTATAGTATTTCTAGTCCTATTAGAGTCTATGAAACAGAGACGATTCCATTAATTCAAGCTTAAAGCCTTAAAATGATCAGAAAAAAATAATATATCTATAACATTGTTTTTTATAGCTCTTAAGGATGTGGTCTTGAGATACTATCTGTATCAGCTAAGGTCCTTCCCACCTCCAAATATGCATATGTCATATTTACATCATGCCTCAATATTGAAAAGCCTACACTCCAACCACACTATAAAAACTTTAAAGTTTGGTTTAAGAAATATGAAAGCCAAATATGTTCAAAAAAAAGTAACATCATCCTCTTCTGATACACAGATGAAATGCAGAAAGAGCAAATCAGAGGTGAAATAGCAAACTGCAACAGACCTTGTGTACGTATGGTCGGACCAAGTCATCCAATTTGTAAAGAATTCTGTCGATGACTTTGACAAGCAAGTGACGCTCCTGATCTTCGAGTGTTGGTGACATCAGCAGAGGCAGAATCTGATTGAACAGTGGCCCTGCTCCAAATTCCCGAGCTTTATCTGTAATTTGCCGCAACGCAGCCTGAACAAAACCAGAAAACCTGCCAGTTAAACTAAGGAAAAAACACTGAGCAATCATAAAACAGGTACTAACAACATTAAAATGTAATTGACTACATCCACCAGCTTCCAAATACTTGCCCCAACCTCCACAGAACTATTTCAAGCAATTTTATGCTGATCTGTTAAAACACGAAAGTGTGATGACAAACACTGTGTTGTTAGTGCCCAGGTGTTCAGTTTTCAAGAGAAGCATACTTCTGAGCTAATACTAGCTCCATTTGGAAAATAGCTTAACAGCCCTTGTTTGCATCCAGGCAGCTTGGTGCTTGGTCAGTTTAGAGCATTTGCAGAAAAGACTGCTATTATGCTTAAGGACAAAACTTAAATAAGAGCTACACGAGGTAGCTAACTTAAGTGTAAGAAGCAAAATCCAGAAAGTTACAAAGCTGTGTAAGCAAAACACACTACAAATCCAGCTTCTTGTAATTGTAAAAAAAAAAAAATAAAATTATACAAGCCCTACACTATTCAGTGACTGACACTACTGTCAAAAGAGCAACAGTACTAAATTATACTGAATAACAAAAAAGCCACACAGATATAGAAGAGGAAGAAAAAATGCAGTAAACAGGGTGTGCTGTTTTGGCTGGAATTGAGTTGATTTTTCTTTAAAGCCACTGGTATGGGGCTGTGTTCTGGATTTGGGCTGGAAACAGTTCTGATAACACAGGGACGTTTACTTACTGCAAAGCAGGGCTTACACAGAGTAAGGCCTTTTCTCCCTCTCACCCCACCACTAAGAAGGCTGATTGATACAAGAAACTGGAAGAGGACACAGCCAGGACAGCTGGCCCTAGATGCCCAAAGGGATGCTCTACATCATAAGGCACCATGCTCAGCATACAAGCCAGGGAGAAAGCTGGCCAAAGGTCACTGCTAGGGGACTGCTTGGGCATCACTTGGTTGATGGTGAACAACTGTTTTCCATCTGCATCACTTGTTTTCTAGGGGTTTATTTCTCTCTTACTTTTTTTTTTAATTTTCCTTTACTACTATTACTCATTTTTCTTATCTCAGTGCACAAGTTTTCTCACTTTTACTCTTCTGATTCTCTCCTTCACCCTAATAAGGGAAGGGGGACAGAAACAAGCAGGTGTGCCATTCTTTATTTTCAGAAGCAATTTCATTATTTTTCTTTCCTTCTGTTCCTCAGGACTCAGAGTCGATTCATCAACATCAACCTACAAGTGATTCCAGACAAATAAATGGGCATTACTACACAATAGAAAGAAAGCAGGGAAGTTAAATCATCATGAGTGAAATCTCCATTACCAGCAGCTTGTCAAAGTACTGGATATCATCTGGTTTCAGGAATGGCAGGTTGCCAGATGGCTGGTCATTAACACTCTTCATAGTGCGGTCCTCTGTCTGCATGTGGAATCCTGTCATACCCCCCAGAGGCGTTGGAGTCGCTGTGAGCTTCCGAGCAGGAGTACGAATGGGCACGTAACCAGCAGGGGGTGGGAGAACCTAAAGAAGGAAGAACAAAATTCATTTTAATTGCAACAGATATAAAAAGAAGTAGTCATAAAATACAAAACATTGCTCGAAGTTGGAGCTTTCAATTTATTTGTTTGGGGATTTGTGGGTTATTGCATACAACAGACCCCATGTTCTCAGTAATACAAACTCACCCTGCAAGCTTGTATTTGCACTTATCCTGTGCATTTCAGAAGAAAGCTCACTCCCACTGCTCAGTGCTTGGATAATAAATTGTCAAGTCTCCAAGGATTAAAGAAGCACTCCAGTAGCTGAATTAACATAGTATATGTGCTGTCTCACTATTTGTGGCCCTCTTCTATGTTTGTCTACATCTGGACTTACCATTTCTATCAGTCCATTCAGAGCACATTTCTAGTCTTGACAGGCATTTCCAGCACTGAGAAGCACAGCAGTGATTTGCCTGTTAAACCACCTTTAGACCTCCCCCCGCTTTCTAAGGGATTTACAATAAATCACTGAGAAAGTCAAACAAGTATGTACAATCAATAATCAATACTTAATGTGAAACATTCTACTTCTGGAGAAAATCAGTAATCCCTGGTAGGAAAAAAACTTAATTATAATCTGCTATATTTTAATCCAGATGAATTACCTTATATCCTTCAGGAAACATAGCATCCAATTCTTCATCAGAAAGTGGTCTGTTTCTTTCATCAATTTCCCTCTCCCAGCGCCAAGCCTGCAGCTGTTCAGGAGTCATGCTCATGATGTGACCTATATTCAAATTTAAAAAAAAATATTTTAACAAATCCTTTTGTATGCAGAAGCAGATGATTTGTTTACTTAACTTTGAAATACTCTCTTGAGTTAAAGTTTCCATAGCACCTGAACTCTGTAGCCAAGTAATATATCAAACTTTTACAGAGCCTTTTATCAATTTTTTTAAGCAACTAAACTGAACAGCAACAGACATGTAACCTTAGTCTCAATTCCTCTCCAGAAATGAGTTGCTGTGGACAATGCCACAAAAACAGTAAACTGAACATATACTGACTGCTCTCATACAGGCAGGAGAGAATACTGGGCAGAAGCTTGTTTCAAAGGACAATACAAAAGGAACTGTTTCATTCCCACAATACAAAGTGAAGCCTTAGACAAGGGACTGAGCTTACCTGGGGTAGGGGTTGCCATGTTCATAGCTGGGGTACCGATGGGTGTTTTGCCAGGTGTCAGAACAGGAGTGCTGCCACCCATCTGGCTGGCAGGTGTTTCATCCCAGCGTGACTTCCTTTTGCTCGCTCCTGGGGTTGGTGTCTCACCAATGGAGTCACCACCTCTATCTGTACGAGGTGTCTCAGCCCAGCCACTGCCATGGCCCGGAGTATCTAAGGAAAAACAAACCAAATTTGCTCATAAAGCTGAACACTATATACTCCAATTATACTATCAATATTCAAATCCATTTTCAGTATCAAATTAACAAACAGCAGGCAAAAAGTAAAGACTACTTTTGTGAATACTGAAAAAACACAGGCATTACACTAAAAATATCCAACAGAGGACTTTGTTTTATGAAACAGGTGTCATCTTCTTTCTGAACCTTAGCATAAAAATATAAGATTCTAAAAAAAAAGAACTACTCAGATATTCTAGGAATTGAACAAAGTACTCCATGTACTCCCTTGATAAAAGCATTAGGTAACGAGTGTTTCACTGCTCTGTCAAATTCAAATTAGGCAGGTGAGATGCTTCTCAAATTTGTTTTAGCAACAACCTCTTAAAAAAACCCAAAACAATTAAAAGCCAACACATACAAACATATTTTGAGAAGTAATTCAACATGTGCTTCTTTACTTTGTCCTTTATACATTAAAATCCCAACTGCAGCAGCCATTAGATATGACAAAACCGTGGATCAATTTTTGAGCCGAGATACTTTCATGGATACCACTCAAGCACAGGCAGAACCCAGTGCTGAGAACTCAGACAAGAATAACTCCCCACATCAACCACTAGATGTCAGAATAGAATTACTTCTTGCCTGGCTTCTGAACTTACTGGGCGAATAAACCCAGTAAAAGTAACCATTCAAAACTTATTATGCACCTCCCAGTTTGCCACAAATACCTCTTTCTGTTTTGGGGGTTTCATCCCATCGATTTTTCCGTGCACTGGAAGTGGCACCTCCATGGCCCGGTGTTGCGTGACCAGGTGTGTCCCGGCCGGGTGTTGCAGCTCCTGCTGGTGTGTGACTGGGAGTTGGATCCCAGATTTTTGAGCCTGGGGTGGCACCTGGAGTTTCGCTACCCTTTGCGCGGCCTGGAGTTTCATCCCATCGCAGAGATGGGGTGTGTCCAGGAGTCTACACAAGACAAAACCAAAAGCATCAGTATCCCATCCTATACAATAAAAGATTGCTAGCTGTTCTTAAATAAGAAACTTCTGACATTCAGGAGGATTAGCACTGATAATGTCTTCTGTAGACATCTGAAGAACACTAGGTCATTACCTCTGCTTGATCCCAGCTGGACAATTTTTTAGGTGTAGCACCAGGAGTCTGATCAGCTGTCTGATCCCAACGCCGTTTGCGTTTTGAAGGTGGCTGAGAAGCGGCTCCATTGACGACTTTGAGCTCTCCAGCTTTAGCTTTTTCAGCTAGTTGTTGCCTAATTTCCCTCTGTTCAAGAGCACAATAAGAAAAACATAAGAACTCTTCAAATTATACCTTTAAAAGAGTTTTTTTGATACCTCTATGGCTTTTTTGAGGTTTTGCTCAAATAACCTGCAATTTGCTACCACTTTCATTTCAAGGCCACGCTTTTTACAAATTCTTCTATACTGACAGAACAGCTCTGTTTGAGGGGCTGTTTTAAAATTAATTTTTCAATAAAAGCCATTCTTACCGCAAGTGCAAATGCACAGAGATTTTTTAAAGCTATCAGTTTGTGTCACTCCTGCACTTATGCCTTAAGACCATTACCCATCTGTTTCAATTAAGTACCACCTCAGTAAATTAAAGGTGGATGATTCAGAAAGTATGTTCACAAGAGCTACATCCCATGACATAAAAAAGCCCTGAAATTCCTATTTTAAAACCTGAGATGATACTGCTAAAACAGCACACTAACAGAGACTGTTTTATATTTATCAATGAATCCATAAGCAGTAAGACTGCTAAAATTATGAACTAATTCCTCTCTTAGGATAAGACAAATCAGTGTTAGAAGTCATTAGAACTACAAGGTCTTGCTCCAATTAGCAAGATGGTACTGTAGGTATTACACAAGATATCTGTTTATATTACCAATATCTTTTTAACTATTAAAATAAATTTGAAAGCATGTTTTTGGGTTTTTTCCTTTTTGGTTTTTTATTAATCTTTAAAACCAATTTCCAATCTTATACCCAATCTTAGTACTGCAACATCTGTTGCAGGTACTTCAGCAAAAGCCTTTTAAAACCTCCCTGGCTTTCCTATACATAGAGCTCACAAAAACAAACATCTCTCAAACTGAGCAATTACCAGTTACTGTTAGATTTTGTCTCTCCTCCTCTGAAAGAAAATAAACAAGAGAAAGTCTAAGTTCTACCAAAAAATCCAGATTAAAATATATTAAGACTATTTTTCCCTGCGCTGCTTAACTATTACATAGAACAGATGTTTTTTAGAACTTTCATCTTTAAGTTCTACTAACTTTCAATATATGAAGAACATGATTTTTCAAAGAAAGGAGCTTTTAAGTCAAGACTAAGTCAAATGAATTTATGTTCCCACTTTCTTAACATGCTTTCAAAGGCTGTAATGTGAAACTCAGTCCAAGTGGAAAACCCTCCCCTCCACACACCTCTTCTTTTGTTAAATGCTGTTCACGCATAACATCCATGTATGTTCTGGCATTCATTTTAGGGTCTGGAGTCTTCCCTCCTGCAGAAGAGAACAGCAACAGGAATGGAGCACAATGAGTACAGGATAAGCAGAAACTATGGACTTCTACTGTCCTGCTCTAGTATTATATTATTCCATGATCATTTAATTTTACTTTTTGATCGAAATTTTTTTAAATTACATGTATCTTACGTTTATTCAGTTTGCTGATCAATTTAACCTGTTTGAACACAAACATAACTACTGCAGTTTCAAACAAATATTTTAAAGCCGATAAAAATGATAAAATGACAACACAGTTAAGAGTCTTCAGAAGTGATGGGTTCCTGGGTTGCTAATCCGGAATACGTACACTTTCGTGCCTTTGTCTCCATCAGCAGTTCTGACTTCAAGCAGCAGAATAGAAGCCTAGAAAATTATCTCTTTACCATTAGTAACACTTTGGAAAGATATTTATAATCAAAACATTACCTTGTGTAAGCTGTTAAATCCTACTTGTTATCTGACTATAAATAACTATTGCATACCTAAGTAATGTTTAAATTCTTTTATCATAAAGACCCATTTATAAGTTTGACAAATCTGGACATGTCTCACAGACCTTCTAGTGTCATATTGTAACAGGGCTTCATTAAAAATAAAAATAAAACAAAATAAAAAAACCCCAAAATACTGTTTAATGACACTTTCCCCCTCTTCTCTTCTCAAGGGACACTTGTGATTGGGAGCTGAATGCAATACAGTACATACACCACCACAACAATACTCACAGGTAATGGGTTTTGTACACCATATGTTGTTTTATGCTCTGTATCTTGCATTAATTGAAATTTTAAATACTTTAAAAGAAGCCCAACTTTATAGAAATGAGACTTGTCAAGAAAACACTTTTCTTTAAGAAAAATGTGCAGATTTGCTATACAAGTGGTATAGCTATTACACTTTAGGGAAAAAAATAAACTTCTTAAACATTTCTATGCTGAAGTTCACTGCCCAATTGGCTGTGTCTTTCTGACACTAGCTTTGATAGGACTTTCCTTTGGAATACTTTTTCACCATAATCTACACAGGATGTGTTGAACTGCACCCTTAAGAATGCAGACAGGACTGGCATATAGCAGTACTGCTGTAGGAAAGAAATTAAGGACAGTTAGTATGGGCCTGTGAATTCTGACAATACATGTTTATATCAATTACAATTAAGCAAGTAAAATAATTAATATCCCTATTAATTCATGCAGGCTGAAATTCTCATTTGCAAAACCTGCAAAATAGCTACTAATTTTAAGCCAACAGGCACCTCATTGCCACACGTGAAACTCACTCACCTGAAGAAAATTTCAGACCCACTAACACCCCTTCTCCTGACTTGCATTCTAAAATTATCAGAACAGACTTGAACTATTAATAGTATCAAAGTCTTATAAATGCTTTTGCTTCTTTTAGCTATACCACCTAAAATTTACATAGGATGGTAAGAATTAGGTGCTCTACTAGCATTTCAAAAGCAGTAACCCTGTAAATCTATAACTTGGAATGAAATCTATCAAGGTACTGAATGAATCTGAGCACTCAATACACAAGTTGTTCAAAGTACAACGCACAACCCAAAACGAAATGAAAAGAGAAACCTTTAACCCTTTGTGTTTCTATGGCAATGGCTCATTGACAATTTTCTTGTCCTTCTACCTGGAAAGAAAACTCGTATTATAAAAGATGAAGAATATGGCATCTAAATTTTCAACCAAATCTCTATGAAAAGGGGATGTTTAAAATAAAACTAAGTTTATAAGCATGCCAACAGAAATCAAAGGGCTAAAGACAATTAAAGACAAAAATTTCTTAAAGGGTATAGAAAAGCCAAAATAAATTACCATCTGCAAAAGGATCAAGACGCTCAGGGGAAATTATCATCATCCGCCTGTGCTTTTTGTACTCATCTTCCCGATCTGCAATCTTTTGAGGACGGTGCTCTGCAAAAGGATCATACTAAAAACCAAGAAAGCCCATTAGTCACAGATTCATGAAGACTAATATAAAAAGTGTATGGTACTGTATTCATTTTCTGTATTATTATGATGTAATGTATGACTTACATTATTTTTTGCCTCGACTATGCAGGAAATGTCAAAACACTATACTAACTTAAATTTTACTTCTGTAACTAGAATTTCAGTTTTCTAAACACAGAACTTCTTATAATATAATTTCTGATAAAAATTTGACATTTTAAGAGTTTCTTCACTTGTTCACCAAAGCATTTCATGCTGTGTCAATCTTTCCCCTTCTTTTTGCAGGGTGATTTAATACTACTTCTTGTGCTTTTAAATTTTTTTAAAATGGAGAAAAATACTCCAGGAATATAAAACTAACATGATTACATTTTTCTTAAAAAACAATAAGTATAAAGGATATTAAGTTTTCCAGTTATTTTAATTTAATGAAATATCTGATTTCAATTTTTTAAAATTTCCATAGTTTAGTTTCTATATTCATGTTGGCTTTACATGCACAAGTGCCAATCTTTATCACCCTGTGTAATTCCAAACTAAAGCATTAACAAGTTTACTGCAACATTTAAAAAACACAGCTCTTTACATACATCTTATATTTCCAGAAAACAAAACCTGTTATTAACACTTCTTTTCCTCAGTGCTTACAAGAATATTTTATTGTGCCTTCAATTAAGACGTACCTGTTCAGTAGACTGTGGTATGTCATTAAGCAATGCCACTGGAGCATGGTATCCTGGCTTCTTCTGGCCAAGCAAACTTGTGGAAGGGTAGTCATCATCATCCTGTCAGTAAAGACATGGTGAATTTGTCATGCTAGTATTATATTTAGATAAAGCAACATCAAATTAACATGCTGTGGTCATTGAAAAGATGAAAATGTACACGTAGAATAGGTAATTCAAAATTTTAGCAAGCTTTCTCATATAGCTTTTCTTACTATTCCCAAACTGGCCAGTCAGATAAACCTGCTCATATCAATAAGAAGGCTCAAGTTTCTTCAATATGCTACATTTAATCAAGTATGCTATCAAATTAGATGAAAAGTCTGTATTTCATATTAGTGCTACTGTTACAGTTCCCTAGTTGGCATATGAGAACTGGTACAGAGATTATGAGAACTGGTACAGAGATATCCAAACTGTTTTTCTTACAAGTCAGATATATACACATATATATATATATGGAACAAGACTTAATAACCCTATAAAAAAGCTTCAGAAACAGTGAAAACTTCAGAGATCGATTCATGTTAGTTTAGTTATACTTAATCATAATGGCAAAAACAAGCACTTGCTTTAGCTATTTCTTCATATCCATAGTCAATTTCTATTAGATTATTTACACCAACCCAAAAGAAAAAGTGCTCATAAAATAATTAGACTGTGTGAGCCCCAGAGTAATGGAAATTTTTAATAACGCATTCTTAGAAGTTTGTAGATGACACAAGTAGGTCACTAAGAAAAACACCTCATGTATCAACTAGTACGAAACTAAATCTTTCTCATTCTTAGAAACAGAATTCTCTCAGTGTAAGATGTAGCTGCCTACGTACTTATGATAAGGCCTATACACCTGACTGTTCCTGCAAGTGAAAATATGGTCCAATGTTTAACATTAAAAATTAACATAAGGTAATCTTACAAGCAGGATACTTAAGGAGAACACAACACAGTGAAAAAGCCAATTCTTAAAAACAGCTCTGAAATTTGAACCTGAAAAATTAAAGTTTGCTGTTTGTAAAGTTTTATTACATTTTTTACCATCATTTGTAATCCTGACACAGTAACAGAACAAAGTTAATTATTCCAGTCATGGCTAACATTAAGTACCAGGCCACAACTTTTTGCCTTCTGCTTGAGCCTGCAAGGCTCTCACAGCAAAATTCATTAAGTATAAGCTAGAATTGCAGCCCTGACAAGAACGACTTGGGGGAAGCCAGTGGAGGAGAGGCTGGACAGAACCCAGCAATGACACTCATAGCCCAGAAAGCCAAACATGTCCCAGGCTGCATCCAAAGCCCCGTGGGCAGCAGGGCAAGGCAGGGGATTCTGCCCCTCTGCTCTGCTCTGAGATCCCACCTGGAACCCTGCACACAGCTCTGGGGGCCCCAGCACAGGAGGGACAGGGACCTGGTGGAGTGACTGCAGAGGAGGCCACCAAGAGATCAGAGAAATGGAGAACCTCTCCTTTGAGGGAAGGCTCAGAGAATTGGTTTGTTCAGTCTGGAAAAGAGAAGGCTCCAAGGTGACCTAATTGTAGTCTACCTGAAGGGAACCTACAAGAGAGCTGGAGAGGGACTTTTTACACAGGCATGTAGTGGCAGGACAAGGGGAAATGGTTTCTAACTGGAGGAGAGTAGGTTTAGTTTGGATATTAAGAAAATAAGTCTTTTCTGCGAGGGTGGTGAGGCTCTGGCACAGGTTGCTCAGAGAAGTTGTAGATGCCCCATCCCCAGAAGTGTTCAGGGCCAGGTTGGACAGTGCTTTGAGCAACGTGGTCTAGTGAAAGGTGTCCCCTGCCCATGGAAAGAGAGTTGGAACAAAATGATCTTCAAGACCCCATCCAACCCAATTCATTTCATGATTATGTGCTTCCCAGATAATATATATTTGGTGCACTATGGCTTTAATGAAAATTGGTTTTGCTTCAAGCAACTGCTATTAAAAATTACTCAAAATCAATTCTATAATAATTACATTACATGCCCTAAACAAACAAAATAAATAAAATCACTTACATCTTCCAATTCAGTTGCTGCAATAGAAGTGACATATCCAGCAAATCTGCTGTCACTGCCACCATAAATTTCTTGATCATAATATCCTGTGGAATCAAGGCCTACTCCTTGTGCTTCATCAAGAGCAGGCTTTTTTCCTTGAATTTCTCGAATTTGTGCTTCGATATCTAGGGTAAAGACATACACAAAAGTCTTGTTACACATACATACAAAATGTAGTAGTCATGTTACTACGTACAGCAAACAGAGGTTTTTGCCCAACCTGAAAGATTATTATAAAAGAAATAAACATATATGACATACAAAACTACAAAATCGTAATTCATAAGCTGGTATTCATTAACAGCTTTTCGTCACATCTTAATATTATCCAGCACAGAGTACTTTAATTGTATGGCTTAAAACAAACTATTTAACTCATTGTTGCCATATCTTATCTTCCCACAGAGGTAGCAGAAAAGGTTATTTACACCACAGCAGCATTTCTCAACACTACACTAACAAAACCCTTTCAAAACAAATGTAATCCTCTCATTTAAAAAAGCCTTTCACTACGTTATCACCAACTTTGTTAATTTAACAACTCTGTTGAAAACAATTACTGCACAGGTTTTCAAAACTGAGATTTAATAAAACAACACCGTATTGTGCTTTCTAATATATTGCAAAGCTATACTATCTTTAAATAAGTAAATAAAAATCCCAACTCTAATATGTCACTGGGTAACAAGTTAATAAAAAAACCCCCAAAACTTAGGATCAGTTTCTTTTCACTCAAATGCTAAAGGAGAAGCTCAAATGTTATTTACTCATCACTATTCCTGCCTGCACCACCATATTTGAGGACTACTATTCTTCTGATAACAAAACACCCTTCAAATGGAAAAAATGGAAGCTTTGTCATTCTTGTACTATATCAGGATCTGACTCTAATCAACTCTGGTGGCCATCTTTGACCTTAGAAATTTGGTACTTTCAGA